ATCCTCTGTATTATCACTGAGACAATCATCAAAGATCACTTATAAATGAAGTTCAGAACTTACTTCAATAACCAGAGATTTCTGGGGGGACTACATGCTCGAAATGGTCTAGCAGTTCCAGGTGCTTTACCAGTCAAAGTGCAAGGCAGTACATAATGGTACCCTAGTGGGAGCGCAAGATCTACCTTGCGCTGATGTTCCATGTGTACGCTGAGCTAACTTTGCAGGGTACACTCCAGCACCATTGGATGTGAACCAAGAAGAATGTCATGCCAGAGATTGCATGGTCTCAACTGTGCCAGTGGGTTCACACCTGGATGCAAGAATTTTTTACATCACAATGTCAATTCTGGTTGGTATGATTCAAATAATACCTTCAAGTGTGCATCACCATCCAGATTCTTCTCAAGGAGTGCAACCTACTGATATGTGATCATCATCAATTGACAAGTTGCTGGCTTACAGACTACTAACTCAGGTAGTCAAACCTTGTAATCCTATGTCCCTCCTGATCCACATACTATACAACAATCTGTGAAGGAAGCACAACAAAGGTGTATGTAAGCCAGAATTTGTGCTACTGTGAAGATTCATGATCTGATTAATATCATGCTAGCAACACCTAATCTGCCTCCTGTAGTTGCTATACCCAGCAGCTCTTGTGCTAGAGGGCCAGGTGTTAGAATTCCTACATTGTGACAAGGTTCATATGCACATTATGGTGCTGAGCATGACTGCTGGGGAAAATTTGCATATCCTTTATCTCTAGCAGAGACTATTGTACTTGAAATCACTGTGGTTCATGAAGGCGCCAGAGCTTGCAAAAAATGAGGTATTACTATCAGAGTATGTTTACATCTTAAAATATGCTGTGACTTGCTTATACTTTAGCTTAGAACATATGTGAGGAAAGGAAGGACATCAATGCTCAAATTGATGTACCTGGGCTCACCAAGCTAGCTTTGAAGACCATTGTTTTCTAGTGATGTCATGTGACTTAATAGCTTGTGACAGGAAATTACAATCAGGAGTATTAAAGAGAGTGGTAGTAGGCGCCAATGGAATAAATAGATTCAGGTTAGTGTTTATGAACATTGGGCCAGACGCTGGAGCAGGTGCTTCTACAGGTGCTTATTCTAGGTGCTTAACAGGTGTCTTACAAGTGTTCAAGAATGAATGATGGTTTGTATTTGGAACTTGTGACAGTCACCAATCTCACCGTCAAGAACTACTCACTAGAATTGATACTCTAAATGTTGCAAAGACCTGGGTGGGGCATGCTATAGCAGAAGGGAATTTCAGCTCCTTAGACTTCTCTATCTCAGAAGATCATAGTGTTAACATGGACCCTATCACTACTCTCCCCTATGTCCTTATCTCTGGCTCTACCTTATGGTAGTCTTACCTCAGTCTATTTCTAGTCTGGACTTCATCCAGGTTAGTCTTTTTGTGTCTCAACCAATATCTGGAAGTCAACTGGATTTATCTCACATTTTAGATCTGGAAGTCATCCAGACTTATACTATATTGCTTGTCTATCCTCCAGATCTGATCTCCTAGCTTTTGGAAATCAAGGGCATGTACTTGGATAAGAGGTACAGTATACAAGCTGAGGCCAATCCCTTCAGATCTGTTAATCCTTGAGCATGACCTTAAGCTCAATCTGTGGCTGTTTAATTTAATTTTGTAAATTTAATAATAAAGACCTAGAGTACATGGGTATTATGGTTGTTTACCGTGTTGCCTAGTACTTAACTAACAACAAATTTATATCTAGTAATTGTGTCAATGCAAAGCATGTACAGCTTCTTGAACTTCAAGTTTTTAAAGAACCTGCTCTCCAAAAAGACCCTATCTCTCATAAACACTCATTTCATGATACTGATTGGCCAGCTTGCTGGCCTTGCACATTGAGACACATTTCACTTGATGAGAGAATAACTAAGCTTCACACTTTTAGAACTTTCTTTGCTGCTATTGCTGCAAACAAAGCAAACATGTAAGATTTTATTCCTCTCTTGCATCTTGCCACATTATAGTCAGAAATCAACAGCCAGGTGGAATAAAATGCATAACAACAACCTCAGCTATGATATCATTTGAATTTGTAGGTTTCATGTATGGAATCCTAATTTTGCATCATGTACTGATACTAATTTTTCTCATGACAGGATCAACAGCATGTGTAGTGCAGAACTAAATCCTACCTAGGTTCAACGTATTGATTTGGATTCACCATTGCTTCTGGTCTATGTTCTCAGACATTCATTCAGCCATTCAACCCCTTGAAATTTATTCACTGTTACTTCTGGTCCATGATTGGAAACAATTTGTTCATCCAGTGATACTGCAAGTTCATCAGCATGATTATTGCTGACACAATTGATGGTATGTTTTTATTTTGTTCTGGTTTCACTAGTCAATTGCCTAGTATATTCAATCAAATTGCCACTGGTGGGTGCTGTTTCCTACTGGCATGCCTCGCTCACCTCAAATTTGTCTTCTTTCATACCCTTGAGTATAGCACAAATTAAATGCATCCTTGCCCACTCTGTTTTTGGCTAGCTGACAATACAGCAGATACTTGGTGTCCTAGTGAAGAGTTGTAAAATGACATAATCTAAGAGAGGATGATAGGATCACTCACTTGGGGTTTCTCAATATCTTTGACATTTTCAGCCACTTGATTGGAGAAAATTGTATAGGTATCCCCTTAGGCACCCTCTCTATGGAACCCAGGCACCAACCGCCTGCATTTGTCATGGGAAATAGCACCTGAAATGATACTTCACCTACCTTAATATGAATTAGGTGACTATAGGTACTGGTGGCAGTCATTAGAAGATACTTCTCATGGTAGAAATTACTTGCCTGGGGTGAAATACAATTTACTAGGCTAGCAGTGGTGATAACAGCAGCCTTTAACTGGTCTAGTACCACATTAGGCAGTGAGCTGACTGAGACAACTACTACTGAGTAGTGCCAGTATGCTGGACAATTTTAACAGTTAAGACATTTAGTAGGGGTTAGAGCATCATTAATCTGAAAAGCAGGAGCATTCAGAGACTATTTATTCTCTCAAGGACAATAATATCAAAATGGGAATGAAGTGGGCTGCTTCTGGAGGCTAATAAGAGACCAGAGATAATCAAAACTACAGTAAGTGACTAGCCAAGTTGTGTTTTCACACTAGTTGCAGGGTGTTTCATGATTCACAGGAGCCACAGCTGTGCAACACCATCCTAGGCACCAAGTTACTACCTGCTGCTTTCCAATGCAGTACGTAGTTATAGAGTGTATCATAAAACCTGCAGAAGGCAAGGAGGAATGAAATGTGGAGATCTCAGATAGAGACTGTGAATTGTAGATGCACCAATGAGGATCAAGATTGAGCATTTCAACTATCTCGAGTGAAAAGCTGAATGGATGGAGGTATTTACAGGAGGCTGAGACTAACAAGAGGACTAGGATCACCTCAAGATGTCACAAGTAGATTTGTACTTACTGTGTTTGTCATATAGTTCACTTGATGACTATTGTTCATTCCTCATTGTATTGTATGTTCCATGCACAATTATCACTACCCTTACATACTACTATTGATGTACTAGTGCCATACTCCATTGTTCAGGGATCAGTGCGCCCACACAACTGTCTCAAACTCAAATTCCACCCTCAACCAAGCTGTTTTACCATGAGGTGCCAGATGACATCAGCCATGCTAACCAACATCACTGTATCATGACATTAATGGGTTGTATCACCACAGGCGGTAGTTATCAGTAGTAATACAGGTATGTGAGACCCTATTTTTATGTTAGCATTATATGGTCTATGAGACCCTACCATTTGTAGCCATTGTGCAAGACAGAAAAACTATTGATTACCTCTCTGATGTTGACTGTCAAATACAGTTGGTAGTGGGAGCATTGGGTCTGGTTGTACTTTTTTGAGCCTCAGAAGTTTATCTACAATGTTATTCCTACAAGGCCTTGGGACATAATGAATTTCAACAGTGCTATTCGACAGGTATTTGAAACAGCCATTGAAAATTTTCAACTCTTCACCATATCCTAATAGATTATTTTGGGACTTTCAACAGGTCTTAATGTTTAGAATGCATCATGTTCCAGGTGTTTTAATGTCTTGAGGATGCTGAATTTCATACCTTAAGCATGTTAAGACTGTACTCAAGTGGTATCGGATCCAAAGGGCTCCGGATTGGATCTGAACCAGAAACTAATGGATAAGGACTGTCCAAAGACAAAAATCCAACAATACACTCAACATCTGAATAATCTGAATATTGACTTCATTGGATCAAGAATCCAAGGGTTTCAATGTTATCTGAGCCCTATCTCTTGGTGTACCATATGAGAGTTTGATCTGCACTATTGGAATCTAGTTGTCATCTTGCCTGACTGCTGCATACATACATGTGTAACTTCCATGAGCACTACTTACATCATCAGTGAGCTGAGTGAACTTTGTGTGACATATAGCCTTCTGAGACATTGTAAGCTGAGGTTGGCTTTCCTGACTTGGCCTGTGTTTCTGTGTGCCAAGACTGACTGAATAGCCAATGTAAGTGACAAAATTTAAGGCTTACACAAGGACTATTTATTGGACAGCAGTGTCCCTTGCCTGAAAATGTGATCCTGGAAGAAAATATAAAATTCTAACATATAATGACCTTACAAAAAATGTACTTAGATACACGATACTAAAAATAGATTGAATCAGTCATTTTACTCCTTTGCTGAAATTAAAAACTCATCTAGACTATACATAGCAAGCAAAAGAGCAGATTTTCTAGGCTCAAACACCAAGTTTTATCAAGAACATATGGCAACTGCATTTCTTTGAAGTCTTGCCTTTGAAGAATGCAAGAGTGAATGTTGAATGTCATGGACAACACCATGTGGAAGATCTTGCAAAGTAAGGATGGTCTTTACCTCCTGAGAATTATCAATAACATAATATCAAATCATGTTAATAACTTACAGCTCACCACTGTGGCGCATCCCAGTAACTGTTTGAACAATTCCATGTTGGCATGCAGAGAGAAAGATACCAATCTGTTCAAAAACATGCACAGTATTTTCATTAGTTGAATTAGCAGCTTTCCAATTGTTGATATATGATGTGAGTTGTTTAGCTCTGTATTCACCAGGACATAACTGTGCATCATCCTTAAATATGTCAACTTGATCTGGGGGGATCATATACCTGCTGGGAAAGATGCAGTGATCAGCACTGCTGGTATTTGTAATGTGTTTTGCAGAATTGTTCCCATCCATTGTGCTAAGACTGGTAGGATACAGCAGACATTCATCAGGTTGCTGTTGAAATAGATTAGACAATGATGTTTCAAAAAATTGAACACTGAACTCAAACATGCACATTAGACAACCATGTTGAAGGTGCCAGTCAGGATCTGTGCAGCTGAGTGCCATATCCACTTGGGACCAAACTTCACAATGTATTGCAAGATAGATGTGAAATGTGATTGAAAATTGATCATAGAACATTTGGACATAATTGACCTAATGATTAATTAGAATGCTGTAGGTCATGCACAATAAATGACTTACATTATATATCACACACAAAACCTTTGTGAACACCTGAATGCTGGATGAAGACTGCCATCATGAGGAGTCCAGCTTGCGAGCTGGCATTTCTTACAATAGATGAGTGTTCAGGCAAATGGTACAGTTCAGTTTCTCCTATGAGGGCCACAATGACCATGAGTACTTCTGGCTTGGCAGGAGTTGCTTCTGGAGTTTGCAGTATATTCCTCCTAGACAACACTTGTAAAAAATTATTATATTCAGAGACAAAAATGAAACATGATTACAGGATACTCTTTGGAACATGCACAAATTACAGATTTTATTCTGCACCACAAAATACAATATGGACTGTGAGATATCATTGAGAGTAGTAGTTAAGTTGTGATGCATATAGTTGGGTCCTAATACTAAGCACTGGAGGATATGGTTGGGTAATGAGGTATTGGGCCTGGGGTAGATTGGGAGGGCATACTATGCCAAATGTATGAGGCAGTTGGCTGCTCATGGTCTTGCAATGTTCCTTCCTGCCAGCTGTCTAATATAAGAGAGTTGTTAGTTAAGATTCATACTATAGGATCCTGAAGGAGACCCGTTTCCTATCTTCCAATCAGTACATGAGCTGCTGGCTTGCCATAGAGTTGGACTTTAGTGCTTAATTGTTTAGTTTGAATGTATGCTGTCACTCAACTCTACAGGTACTATGAACTTATTTTTTCATGTATACATATCATAAGTGATTATTAAATGAATGCATTCATGTTGCATCTATAGCGGAGTCATATTAAGGCCTTCCACTTTAGTCTGGATCTGCAGGAGCATTGTAAAACAACCCTTCTATGGCTTGCAAACTCATTTGTCAGTACTGCAGCACTTCATTTATATCTTCTGTGTATTTTCTATTGAAAGGCAATAGGGAAAAAAAGAAATCATGGACCAGCAGAAATGTTGCATAAATCTTAAATCCCAATTAGATTATCACAGTATTTTGACTATATATTCAGACTGTCTTTCACTTTCTGAAGACCAACTAACCTTGCTCTTTAGTGGCTCAAGTCTTAGTGAGTCTATTTTTATCTCTATCTTTACACCCATACACCTCTTATCACCGCTTTCACTTTCATATAAGCCAATACTTTAGCACTGGTACATATTGATTCCATTTCATTGACTAGCAAAAAGAAACAACCAGACCTTTATCTTTATTACACTTCTTGCTGTATTTTATACACATAGTATATTTGATAGCTTCTAGAGCAATCAATTTATTCATCAATAAGACAAGTGTAAGAGAACACCTAGCATGGATTTAGATCTTCAATATACAGTGGCTCAAAAAACTGTCCGCATGTTTTGACATTTTTCACTATCTATGATATTGTGTGAGAATGAACAAATTCCTCAAGGACATACTTATACCACATTGTAGTATGGCTTCAGGGCTTTTATTTGAGCCCTACACCGTGGGAATTGGCGGAGATATGGTGGAGATATAAGGCTTATAAAATGATGACTCATGTGGACAGTTTTTTGAGTGTATATTAAAACTATATAAATCATTATTTATGACACCATAAAAATCATGCCACTATTATATAAATTATAAAGTGGTGTCATTATGTTATTTTATGACTATATCTAACTATATAAACCAGAATATCTCATGTATCATAGTCATAATCACCATGAAAGCCATCTCCTCTGCTCAAAGAGATAATATCCTCTCTCTGTCTTATGCTGGCCTCTCTGCTCGCCAAATTTCCTCTAGAACTGGAATATGCAAGTCCACTGTGGCCAAGTTCATCAAAGAAAGCCACCCAGACAAGGAAAACTCTTGTGGAGGACGTCCATCCAAGCTTACCTCTACTGACAAAAGGGCTATTATCCAACATATCACTACAGGAAAGGCTGATAATGCTGTCCAAGCCACCCATTATATCAATTCCACCATCACTACCCCTGTCTCTTCACAAACTGTGAGGAATGTTCTCAAGGCAGCTCATCTCAAGGCAGTAACAAAGAAGAAAAAGCCTCTTCTCTCCATCAAACATAGGCAGAGAAGACTAGCCTTTGCCTTAGCTCATCAACACTGGACTGTAGAGGACTGGAAGCATGTTATATGGTCAGATGAGACCAAAATCAATAGGATTGGGTCAGATGGGAAGGTGTATGTATGGAAAAAGAAGGGAGATGGCCTAACAGACAGAGAGGTTAATGGGACTGTCAAGTTTGGAGGAGGTTCTTTAATGGTATGGGGCTGTATGGGATGGAATGGTGTGGGAATGCTTGCTGAGGTTGAGGGGAAGATGAATGCTGAGCAGTATGTGGACATTTTAAATGACCACTTGCTGCCTAGCTTGGCAGAATCAGGGATTGATGAAGAAGATATCATTTTCCAACAGGATAATGATCCCAAGCACACATCCAGAAGAGCTAGGGAATGGTTTGAAGAACATAACATCAATGTTCTTGACTAGCCAGCACAGTCTCCTGATGTCAATGTCATTGAACATCTCTGGGGAACACTCAAGAAAAAGCTTCAAGCCTATGAAAACCCCCCTAAAGGAGTATGGGAGCTTTGGGAGAGAGTAGCAGTGGAATGGGGGAAGATCACAGCTGAGGATTGCCAGAAATTAATTGAGAGTATGCCTAGAAGGATAGAGGCAGTAATTAAAGCCAAGGGAGGTCATACAAAATACTAGAATACCTGGTTATTACTGTAAAATACTTGAATCAAAAAACTGTCCGCATGAGTCACCATTTTGTGAGCCTTGTATCTCCACCATATCTCCACCGATTCCCACGGTGTAGGGCTCAAATGAAAGCCCTGAAGCCATACTACAATGTGGTATAAGCATGTTTTTGAGGCATTTGTTTGTTCTCACACAATATTATAGATAGTGAAAAATGCCAAAACATACGGACGGTTTTTTGAGCCACTGTATGTATCATTGAAGATCTCTCCCATATATGAGGCCAGCAGCAAAACTACCCACAGAGCTATTCTTATTAACTCATTTATTATTTTAAACCATTATCCTTCCATGACCATACCTAACAAATTCATTTCCCATTATAAAACAACTTTTGTTCTCACAGAACCATACCTAACTGACTTATTGATTATTTCTGAATCACTGCCCTCACAGTAATATGCCTAATAAACTCATTTATCATTTTAAACCTACTTCCACCCTTATAGAACCCTGCCTGCCTGACTTATTCATTATTTTATTTTTCTAATCACTGTCAACAGACTCATTTGTCATATTTAAACCACTGCATATGCTTATAGACCATGGTTGATGAATACACTTATTGTAACAATGCTTCCAACCACCACCACCCCATCTTGATTGTATGTTTTAAAGACAAGCCCTCCTCAGCTGTTTATCATATTCAAACTGTAGACTACCCTCATGATACTATTCAAACCACTCTATATCAGACTATCTTCCATCTTCTAAAGAGCTCTCCAACCTTTCCCTATGTTGCTAGTTTTAGCCAGTCAACTTTCATACTTGCACTTGCAGTCATACATCTTGTTGCATTTCTCCCTTGTATATATCCTGCTTTAGCATCTTACATAAATAGTATGTTTTGATCATGGCATACTGGTTGCTTACTATTAATTTTTTTCAACTAGATGATAACCCCAAGGGCTGTAGAGAATGTAGCATGCCATGATGAGAAAAGACCTCTCCAGGTATACAAATGAGTTCCTCTGGGAAACACTGGTCCTTTAATAACATATCTTCCTATATACAAGTGGTTTCATATCACACAATAGCTCTAGGATCAATAATAGGCCTGTTAGAGCTTATATGAATCAGTTAAGCAGGCTGTCCAATCTGCTGGAAATGTAGTTGTTGGCATACAATAGTAAGCATTCAATCATCACAATACATCAATCTTTGATATATCAAGTATCAGAGAATAGCAATAAATGAAAATGGCAAAAACAGAGCAAAGAGTGTGATTCAAGCCACCTAAAGGTGAAGATATAAAAGTCTGGTCACTGAGCTGTAGGTAGAGATGTTTCATTACTGGGACCTGCTGGTGCTCTGTTGGTGCATGAATGCACGTGACAATGCGACGCATCCTAGCGGAGTATGACTTGCAGGAATCCAAACCAGAAACATATATATATATCTATTTCCCTTTGTATTGTATCTTCCCTCAGTTCGTTGTCATGTATCGTATGCAACTCATACCATGACAGATACACAAGAGGTGTGATAAGGAAGGTATAATAGACCCTACTGTATCCTATCACCAAGTTACCCCATCATTTTCCCCTTAGTTATTAGCTAGTATTTTCACTTTCAATCTTCACTTCCATTTTTCCATGTATTTCTGTTTTGTTCTATGACATTCCATCTCTTTCTATTTTCCTCAGGCATATTCAGCCAACAGACTTTGTTTTCAGCCACCAAGCATGTTTGTAAGCATGTCATGTGACTGGTAGATATCATGATTTGTAAAGATTGAGCTTGACTCATCATGTTTTGTCATGATTTGTCATGATTTGTCATGCTTTGCAAGATTTCTAACTGTATTTATAAGCTACTTAGTAAGAAGGCTGATTCAGCACAACCAAATGGCATTGTTAGTAAGCACATTCTTACCAATCCATGTGATGACTCATGCCATGATTTGTCATGCTTTGTAACTACACTGTAAAAAGAGAGAGAAAAATAGTATGGGTTAAACTTAGTTAGAATAGCTGATAGATTATATAATCAACCCCTGTAAGGTAGTATATAATTGAATAAATGTTTCTTAGTCTTACTTTGAGGCTAATGATTTGCCTGTACTTAGGTTCTTACTTAATCTCACACTGTTTGAGATGAGTGAAGGTGGGAAGTGCTCCATTTATTACATGGCAAAATTGGGCTCCTTATATACCTTTTGGAGGCCCTGATTACAAAGCATAAATCATCACATGGATTGGTAAGAATGTGCTTACTAAC